AGTATGAAAGTGAGCTGCTTTATGGCAGCCCCTGGGGTTCTCTCTCCCCACAGATTGCCTGTGTGGGGGAGGGACTAAGGGACCTTCCATCAGGACCGCTGGGTGGAGGTTGGTGGGGGTCTTGTGAGGTGCTGGGGATAGGGGGTGGTTCTCCTCCTCCTGGTTCTCCTGCCCCTGTTTTCTGTTGCTGCTCCTTCCCAACCACAGTTGCTGTGGGTTTTTTTTCCATTCTGGGCCCTACTGCTTGCCTCCTTACACTTCTTTACTCTTCTGGGCCCTGCAGCAGGAACTGTGGGCCTGCTACACAAGCACCTGTGGGCACACTGGTTCCCTTTCCCAGCCATGTCTCCTCCCTTTCCCCATCCCCTCACTCTTGAGGAGGCATCTCTTCACTACTTGCCTTCCCTCTCTGCTGCTTGTCCCATCTACCCTGTTGTGTGTCCATACCCTCCCCCCATTCTTTTGTTAGGCGCTTAAGATTCCCCATCCTTTAATTACCACACACAGCTTCACTTGTCCCCATGTTCTTTAAATAATAATTTACCCCTCATCTCCCCAGTGCAGCCAGAGGAGCTGCTCTTTCCATTCTGTGCTGGGAGCTGTACTCCTTCCTCTTTTTCCCTTCTCTTTTCTGAATCGTCGCCCTCCCACCCCACTTCTAGCCTCGTAGGGAGGAGCAGCAAACCTCCTTTCTTCCCCTTCCTGCTCCCTTCTCTGGCATATTCGCTCCTCTCCTAATTGGTTGTTTGTCCTTCCCTCCCGACCCATGACCACGATGGAGGGGTTGTCTGGTGACACCCCTGCCAAACCTTTCCCACCCCTCCCTAAAAACAGCAGTCCCTCTGAGGCTACTGGGCCCTCCATCGCTATGGTGGAAGGGGGCGGACGTGGATGAGGACTCGAGTGCCTTGACTGCCCCTGCCATGGCACCTCTAGTACCCATTGAAGAAGTTCCCCTGAAGGGTAGGAAGGGCCAGTCGACCAAGGGCAAGAACCCCACCCGTAAGGCAAAAACTGAGGCGATGGCTCATAACCTGGCCATTGCCCCCATGCCGGCCACGGCCTCCCTTCCTTCCCGCTCCCCCTGTTCCTTCCACCAGCTCTGGGGGTGATGTTATCCCGGCCCCCAGGGAGTACGCTCAGGTAGCCTCCATCCTCTGCCTGCAGCCCCCCAAGTTGCCTCCCAGAATTCCATTGCCGGCGGCCTGTGGCCCCTTTCCCACCCTAACCAGGCGGCATGGGATCCGTTGTCTCCTGGTGGTGGCCTCGCCCCACGTGGAGACCTACGTACGGGCATTGGCATGCGTGGTGGAGCCTGCAGCCATGGTGGCAGCCTCTAAGATGTTTGGGAAGGTGGTATTCTTTCTGGCATCCAAGGTCACCGCCCAGGAGGTGGCGGAAAGGGGTTTGGCGGTGGGAGAGTCCACGTTCCCCTTAAGCCTTTGGAGGACCTGGGCATATGAGTGGTTTTGTCCTCTGTGCTTCCCTTCCTCCCAATGCCACCCTACTGCCTTTCCTCTCCACCCTGGGGAGGCCTCTATCAGTCCTAAGTCCCCATCCTCTGGGCTGCAAAGACCCTAACCTCTGCCACGTCCTTTCCTTTCGCCGGCAGGTTTCTATCCAATTACTACCAGCGGGATATGGCGGAGAAGGGTCATTTCCGGTGCCCCATCAATGGGCCCAGTACCGGGTGTACTACACCATGGCGGAGGCCCGGTGTTTTCTCTGTCGGGCAATGGGGCACATCTGAAGGGACTGCCCCCTGGATCGGTTTGGGAGGGCACTGGCCCCACCACCGCTGGTGGCCCTGATGGTCCAGACCTTGGTGTCGCCCCTCCTCCAGTTGTGACCATGGTCAATCCCACTTGGGCTCTGCAGGCCCCAGATGAGCACCTGCTGCTGCCACCACCAAAAGTGGCAAGGCCGGGCCTGCAGAGGAGAGGGTGATGGGGTCAGAGATGGGACTCTGACAGGGCCTACCTCAGGGGAGGTTTCCCCTTCCCCAGCTGCCCAGCCCCAGTCTTTCCTCGCCCTCCCATCGCTGCCCTTGCCCCCTGGCTCTTCCCCTAATTGGGCCCAAATTTCTTCTTCTTCTGAGGGCTGGGTGGTTGCTATGGGGAGGCGCCGCAAACGAGCCTGACGTTCCACCCCACCTACTGAAGGGG